GATGTTTAACAGAATGAGTATGTATTTCAAAGTATTTCCTATTATATTTTTCTTATAGTCTTATTTCTTTTAAGTTGGCTGGAATAAACAATAAAAGGTCAAAAACATTAGATTTTTTAGGCGACTTATTTGATTCAGAAGACAATCCCTGAAGTCCAATATCTTGCCTGATTAATTTAATCTTTATCTAAAGTTGAACACTAGTATCTTGCAAAATAACTATTATGTATTGTCATCATTAATTCATTTTCCTTCAGCTTAGTTCTTTTAGTCATAGGGGCTTGCCACAACGGAATGAACCGTCATCTTATACAGCATATGTTTTACACAGCGGATGCCCCACCAGCCGCAACCCAGTACTGGAAAACACCCATACACACACATTCACACACACACACACTCATACACTATGGCTAATTTAGTTCACCAATTCCCCTATAGCGCATATGTTTGGACTGTGGGGGCAACCAGAGCACTTGGAGGAAACCCACGCCAACACGGGGTCGAACATGCAAACTCCACACAGAAACGCCAATTGGCCCAGCTGTAATTCAAACCAACAACATTCATGCTGTGAGGCAGCAGTGCTAACCACCAAGCCACCGCGTGGCCCGTATTGTCATCATAGCAAAGACAAAATAAACTAGTTATTAGAAATTGTATTTATTAAAATTATTATATTTAAATATGTCTTAGACAGCTGATAAACATCACTTATTTTTGCAAATATTTGCAAAAGATTTTACTATTTCGTCTTAAACTGTAAATTAAAAAACAAAAATAAAACCTAAAGGAAACACTAACACAACATAAAACATGTCACGAGTACCTGCTTGCTAATAATTTAGTTTTTAGCTGTAAATGAAACCTAATCGTCACACTTTACAATAAGCTTTAATAGGTTGATGCATTTACTAACATAAATTAAGTACAAATAAAACATGTACAGCATTTATTAATCAGTTCAACATTTACTAAGCATAATGCAATCGAAAAGAAGCACCTGCTGTCTTCATATCTCCGATGCGGATGATGTGCGGCCAGTGCTGAAGAGTTTTGGCGAAGAATGGGTTTGTGACGCCTAAAATGACTGAAGGCCTGCAGCAGAAACACAGACACCATATACGGTTAAACAGAGCAAACACTTCCTGTCTGAGCTCCAGAAATACACTCCTGCATCGATCCGAACGCAGAACAACAGCTCGTCTATCATACCGCCATCCAGATTCAATTACACACCACGTTTGTAGGTCAAAACAATGAGAAACACGTTTACACACACACACTCACAGACAATACACACTGTTCTTTTATAAATATCCACTATACTACAGTATTGATGCATGCTGTTATATTATACAATGTACAGAGTTTTAAAAATATTAACAACATAGTAGTTAAGGTAATTTTAATCATTACATTTATGTTCATATTTCTATTCATTACTAGCGCTGCACAATATCTGGCTTTTGGCATTGATATAGCAGTGTGTGCATCCACAATAGTCACATTGCAAGATCTGCAATGTCGAATCAGAATTATAGCTTAGTAGGCATTAAAAACACACATCATTGTGGAGTAATTACAAAGTTTAACCATAAGGTAACCACAAAATTGTATTATTTGTATGCGTTTAATGCCTAGTATGCATTTCAAGCCCATTTACGTTTACATTTAGTCATTTAGCAGTTGCTTTTATCCAAAGCGACTTACAAATGAGGACAAGGAAGCAATTTACACAACTAAAAGAGCAACAATGAATAAGTGCTGTAGGCAAGATTCAGGTATGTAAAGTGTAAAAAGCAAAACATTGGTCTTTTTTTTTTGTAATACATTTAGTGGTATATCCAGAGAGGCAATTGCAGATTAGGAAGGGTAGTGGAGACTAAATAGTTGAGTTTTTAGTCGTTTCTTGAAGACAGTGAGTGACTCTGCCAACTGGGCAGATTGAATGCGAGAGTTCGGGAAAGTGATTTCTTCCCTCTTTGGGATGGAACCACGAGGCGACGTTCATTCACAGAACTCAAGTTTCTGGAGGGCACATAAATCTGCAGAAGTGAGAGCAGATAAGAAGGAGCAAAGCCAGAAGTCGCTTTTTAAGCAAACATCAGAGCTTTGAATTTGATGCAAGCAGCAACTGGCAGCCAGTGCAAACGGATGAGCAGCGGAGTGACATGTGCTCTTTTAGGTTCATTAAAGACCACTCGTGCTGCTGCGTTCGATTTAAAGCATTCAGTCAAAGGAAATAAAATTTTAGTGACTTTAAGTAACATTATTGTTTTAATGTGCAGTATATATATGCAATGAAGAGTTTACTGCTATTTAATTTACGTTTAATTATTCAATTTGTTTGCCTAACTTTGATTTACTGTATTTGACATTGCTTGTGATTTGGTTTATTACATTTAATGCTGATGCACTCCACTACAAAATCGTCCTATTATCATCATCATCATCATCCAAAATTGTCAGAACTCTGTCCAGGAAGGCCGGTGTCTTGGAGAGTTTAGCTTCAACCCTAATAAAACACACCCGAACCAGCTAATCAAGCTCTTACTAGATATAATAGAAACCTCCGGGCAGGTGTGTTGAAGTTGGAGCTAAACTCAGCAGGACACCAACTCTCTAAGACCGAGTTTGGACACCCCTGTCCTGAATTATTAATTCTTTTCAAATAAAGCAATTCACTTCATCTGTTAAAATTATACTCAATAATCGCAATGTGTATCGCAGGAAAATAAAATATTGCAATGTCAGTTTACAATATCGTAGAGTCCCATTTCATACACAGCTGTAACTCAAAGTTCTTTAGAAACTAAAAAAAAAATCATGGATATTTTCATTTCATGTACATTAAAAAAACTTAAAAAATCTAGAAATCTAAAAATGAATTAACAATAAAAACAATGATAAATACTATGGTAAATATTAATCGATATTAGAATAAAAAGTAGAGGCAGAATTCAATATTTAACTCAGTATATTAAATACTAATCTACAATAATTGTAAATACTGTATTTGTGACAGAAACAAAACAATTTCAAGACAGAAACAAAACAATAATAAAATATATATGATCAAAATGTAAATGAACATTTTCTCAAATATATGCATGTGTGTGTGTGTGTGTGTGTGTGTATTTATATATACATAATAAATATACACACTATACACACATAAATTATATCAAAACAAACTTTTATTGTGGATGCGATTAATCGCATTTGTTTTGTCCCAGCACTAAAAAATATTATTAAAACAATTGAGTAAAATACTTACCAACCAAAATAATATAAAAATATATACATATTTAATAATATTTAAATCATTTAAAAAATAAAAATAATTCAATTAAAAAAAATAATTATATATACAGTGCTCAGCATATACGAGCACACCCCCCACAAATCCCTTATTTAAATGAATATTTTCTATAGGCTGCTTTACAATATGACATTTGTGCATATACATTAGATTAGTCAGTACTGAAACCAATTCTGGAGCTAATCTAACAAAAAAAATACAATAATGGTTCAAAAATTAATAGACCAAATTTATATGTTAGAGAAAAATATTAAATATATGTTCAAAAAATAACAAAATTCAAGAGAAACATTTAGTTGAAATGTTGTAGCTTGCAATTTATTTTTGCAACATCTTGCATGAATTGAATTGTATTATCTTTCCATTTCTAAAGATGATTGATGACTAAAATATCATTTTAATAAATATATCTATTTAATGAATCAGTTTTGTTCAAATGCACTAATAATATATTACCTATATTCACTGAGAAATGAAGTAAAATATTCATTTTCAAACTGGGTGTACTTATATATGCTGAGCACTGTGTATGTATGCATGTATGTATGTATATATTGAAAATATACAGATCTTCTTGCATGTGAAAGCTTTTAGTGTTTACTTACGGAGCTTGTGTTCGCGTGGTGTATTCCTTAAACTCACTGTCATGAATAGTGAAATACGGCCGGAAGTCACTGCAGTATCGTAGAGGAGAGATACAACTGCAAACAAACACAGATTATTATTATTATTATTATTATTATTATGAGTTGTTAGACTAATCTTACATCTTTAACCAGCATTAAATAAGCCCTCTAGAAGTCAGCATTTTACTAGCTTTTGATTTAAGACAAGTCCTCTAATTTTTTAAGGGGAAATTATACCCAAAAATAAAAATTGCCAAACTGGAGTTTCTTTCTTCTGTTGAACACAAAGGGAAAAAAATAGCCATTGACTGCATTTCAGTATTCTTTATTGCTACTACAGCTGCCAACGGCTGCATTTCCAGCATTCATCAAAATATCTTGTTCAACAGAAGAGGAAATTTTGTGCAGTCCTAATAGAAAAATAAAAAGCCCAGACATATATGGACAAAATGAAGATACAACTCAAATATGATTTTTTTTTTTGTTTTGTTTTTTTTAACACTTTTATTGTTTCAGAAAGGTGTGATACATTCTTACTGTATTAGTAACCAAATACCAATCAAAGAACTCCCGCCCCATCCCGACGTTCAAAATAAAAATTAAAAATTAAAAAAAGAAAGGAATAGAATAAAAATAAATAAAATAAAAAAATAAAAAAATGCATTCTCATGCGAGGAAAGTAATACAAAAACAAATAAATAGAAAATAAAGATTAACTAAAATAAACTTAAAGATAAAAATAAAAAGGGCAATTTTGTTAAAAATTAAAAATATATAAAAAATAAATACCATTAAAACATTGACATTTCAACATATACATTCCAGTGAAAGTATATTCAAGTTAGTCATTACAAACACAGTGTATTTTAACAGTCACATTGTTTGGGATTACTAAACAGTCAGTCCACTGTTATTTAAAAAATGAAGGAAGAAGTCCCAAATCTTGTAGAATATGTGCATTTTTTGTTTGATTGAATAAGTCAACCTTTCCATTGCTATACAGGAAGAATTTCCTTAATCCAGAGTGACAAAGATGGAGCATGAGTACTTTTCCAGTGAATGGCAATCAGGCGCTTCGCATGTAATAGACACAGATTTATAAACTTCTGTTCATATGACTTCAGCGATAAGGCAGGTGGGAAAAGACCAAGGATACAGATTTTTGGGCAAACAGGGATTTCTTTACCAATAGTTTTAGAGATTACACCAATTATTTCTTTCCAAAAGAATTGCAAGTGCTCACATTGCCAAACACAATGGAACAGTGTGCCCTTGTAAGTCAAACATTTTCCACAAATGTCCAGAATATTTCTATTAAATTTATTTAACATTTCTGGTGTTATTTATGTTCTCATTACCCAATTATATTGGATTAATTTAAAACGGGTATTGATTGATAATGTTTGCGCTTGAAGACAACTTTCTTCCCATTCATTTTCTTCAAATATGATTTGACAGATTCTAAAACACCACATCAAATGAACTAAACCCTGTTGAATGGCAAAAATTAGCAACTTAGTTAATGAAATATGACGCACTTAGTAACATTTACTAAAGTACCAATAATCCTGTAAAGCATTAATTAATCATAGTTCATTATTCATAGTTATGATAAATGTATTACTAATTGTTTGTTCACGCTACTAAATACATTCATATTCACAAATGGGCCATTATTTTAAAGTGTTACCCCAAACTTTTTTACTTTATTTGTCGTACCTGACCAGCGCCAACACAGTGTCTGAAGACTCTGCTGGTGATGGAGCCATGACCACTAATGCTTCACCCAACAACACCAGCTCCCACAACATCTGGATATGAAAAAACACTGGATGGAAACACCTGCAAGTGCAACATAAACCCAGAAACAAACAGATAAATATACAGAACAAATTACAATATAATAAAGAGACATACTCTAAATAAACACTAGCTTTTCTCTGTTTAACACCATACATATATAATATGCAATTTTAAGGTCTTTTATACAATGTTTATATCAGCGTTTCCCAATCCTCTTCCTGAAGGCACACCGCCTGTACAGATTTTCAACCTCTCTTTAATCAAACACACCTGAATCAACTCATCAGAACATAAGAAGAGACTCCAACAGCAAGAGCGACCAACCCTTAGTAATTGGATAGACGCAACTATTGAGATTTATACAATGGAAAGAATCACCTTCGTTGTCAACTTAAAGAAAGATATATTCCTGAGAAAACGGAGGAAATGGGTTGAATATATTTTAGTTAGAAAACCTGACTTTATTGCTATAAATGAATAGAAGATGATGCTCTGATAGATAAATTATGCTAATGCATGTACATGTATATGATTACACTTATTCATATTATAATGTGTCCCAATATGTATAATGAAGATGGCCACTTGAGATTACTCTTGAAGGAAATATATTATGACATGTGTTCTAACCCTGGATGTAAATAGTGTTTTAATTTTCATTTATTTTTGATTATTGTATTTTTATTTTATCTTTTTCCTATTATTATTATTATTTATTTATTTATCTATTTATATTTTTTTTATTTTTATTTTATTTATATATTTTTTAATTTATTTATTTAT